CCATCTTCCTTCTGAGGAGTGGCTGGTGGGTTTGAACCGCCAGCCTTCTGGTTAGCAGTCAAGTGCCTTAGCCACTATGCTACCAGAGCTCCCTATAATGGTATATATAATATAAATTATAATGAATAAAAATGATTACATATTTCCAAATTTACTGGTCAAAATTAACTTTGAAAAAATTAGTTAATTTTTATATTAAAAGTTACAAAATATATATTCTAAATGGGCATAAATGAAAAACAAAAGAGCAGCAAAAATATTTCTTCTATGGAAAGATGACATAGCAAAGTACAATAAACATATGGTTTACCATTTCCTTACTGTCTAGTATGGAAAAGTTACTGGGCTACATGCTATAAATGCATCAGGCCAAATCTTTTAAAAAATTTGCAAGGTAACAACAAATGGACAAACAATCCAATTGAAAAATGGGCAAGACGCTTTAATACACATTTTGCCAAAAAGTATACACAAACAGCCAAGAAGTTCATGAAAAGACACCAGCATCATTAGTCATTCCAAAGCAAACCCACTGCCATTGAGTTCATTCTGACTCATGGAGACCCCATTGGATTTCCAATGCCGTAAATTCTTACAGAAGCAGACTGCCTCATCTTCCTTCCATGGAGCTGCTGGTGGGTTTGAACCACTGACCTTTTAGTTAGCAGCCAAATGCCTTAATCACCAGAGCTCCTTCAGGGAAGGAAAAGTATCAAGGAAATGAAAATTAAAATCACAATGAGGTACCATCACACCTCCACTACTATGACTACAAAAAAAACCCAAAAACCTAAAATAACAGATATAGGCATGGATGTAGAGAATGTGGAACCCTCATCCATTGCCGGTGGAAATACAAAATATTTCAGGTACTGGAAAACAGTTTGGCAGTTCCTCAAACAATTAAACATAAAACTATCATATGACCCAGCAACCCCAATCCTAAATATATACCCAAAAGAACTGAAAGCAGGATTGCAAAGAGAAATCTGTATGTCAATGTTCATTGCAACAATATTCTCAGCAGCCAAAAGGTAGAAACAGTCACCAAAATGTCCAACAGAGCAATGGATAAACAAAATGTGGCATATACATACAATGGAATATTACTCAGCCATAAAGAGAAATGATGTCCTAAAGCATGCCACAATATGTTGTTGTTGTTGTTGTTGTTGTTGTTATGTGCCGTCGAGTCAGACCTGACTCATAGCGACCCCTCCTTGGGTTGCCGAGGCAGTATCACTACAGAAGTAGGATTGCCTAACCTTCCTTCCAAGGAGTGGCTGGTGGGTTTGAACCACCAGCCTTCTGGTTAGCAGTCAAGTGCCTTAGGTACTATGCCACCAGAGCTCCTGCCACAATATGTATGAACCTTGAAAATATTATGCTGAGTGGAATAAATCAGTCACAAAAGGACAAATACTATATGACCTCACCTATAGGAAATAGGAAAATGCATAGAAACCAAAGCTTATTGGTGGTTACCAGAAGTGGGAGGGAGGGAGAATAGGGACGCTAACGCTCAGGAGGCACCGAGTTCTGTTAATGATGGTGGAGTAATTCCAGAAAGAATATTGGTAATGGTTGCACAACGTGATTAACATAATCAATGTCACTGAATTATACACATAAAAACTGTTGAAACAGCAAATGTTTTATGTGTATTTTTATCACAGTTTTTTGTTTTTAAATTATCATATCTATTTTACAGAAGAGTTTATGTAATGGACCTGAGAATCTAAGTGATTTGCCAAAAGTCATACAACTCATAAGAAATAAAGTCTATACCCTCAACTGGGCTATTAGGTTAGGGTTGTTGTTATGTGCCGTCGAGTCAAACCCGACTCATAGTGACCCCTCCTTGGGTTTCCGAGGCAGTATCACTAC